ACAACTAGAGTGTAAATAGTGTATGATTAAACTAGAAGGATTCCAATCCACCTGAAAGGATAGCCTTGTAGACCATAGAAGGGCACTTATTGAAGCACGCTCAACCTCTCTCCTCTCTAATTGAAAATATTAAGAATAATCCTAGATTATTATTAAGCACAATTAAGCATAATTATTTAACCCCTTTGTGGTGTTCATGTTTTTGTTACTCAGTGGTCTGGTGGACCCACCGCATTATTGTTTTTTTTTATCTTTACAGCCATAACAATTTATGTAAAAATACCAGATGTTTAAAATATCACAAGTGGCCAGCGTAGGATTCTTCTTTAGCAGCTGTAGCCAGTCAGCAGCCTGTCCATGTTGTCCACCCTCACACACACGCACACATATACAAACACATACACACATAGACACACACACTAACAGCAGGCCATGTAGGAGGAGAACAGAGTGAAGGGACATCTCCACACTTTTATTCCCCACGGGTTCACCCCAACACCACATGTGTAATATAAATGTGTACGGGGTGTACAGTGTGAATTCACTGAAAATGTGTTATTTTATATGTTCTTCACATAAAATGCTGCCCTACAAAGCCAATCCAGATCTTGGTTACTTGATCTTGAGGACCTTTACCTTACTGGCTAAAATCATTTCCACTTAAAACCTTCTATTTGCATATTAGCTTTAATTCCTAGAGGTTTACTCAAAGAAATTTTGACAGAAATAACCAAGTCTTTTCTATCAATAATAAACTCCTCTCTTAGCCTTGACTATATACCAAAAAGCTAGTCTAGCCTAAAAACTTACTTGTTTAGCCAAGCATTTGGTAATTAGTTTTTCCTTTTAGACAAAAGGTGATAGACTATCATGGGTGCAGTCTATGTGCCATCAGTGAGCAGAAGGAGCACCTGGTCCACATGGGGCTCTGGCAGAAGCGGAACTATGACCTGTGGGTCAAGGGCCAGGAGTTTCAGTCAGGTGAGAGAGTGTGTGTGTTGAATCTGCATCGCCAGAAAGGCTGCTCCCCCAAGCTAGACAGTGAATGGTTAGGAGCCTGTGTCATGGTGGAAAGACTCTCAGATGTGGTATATTAAGTGCGCAACAAAACCCACCGCCTCATGCCATTGCATCCTGGACTGCCTGGCTCTGTATCTGCAGGATTGATAGGAGAGCACTAGTCCTCGGGGCCCTCCAGAGAGCTGCCCCCAGGACCCAACCAACCCAATCTCCATGCTACCCAGCATCGCCAGAATGCTGCCAATGCTCTTCAACAGCCTCAGAAGCCCTCAATGCCCACTGGTGACCTGAGAGGATCATGGCATCCTGACAGCGTCAGTGGAGAACCCACAGGCAGATCCTATTGATCTGCCAAATTCAGGCTGGAAGCCCTCTAAGAGAGAGCGACAGACTCCTAGACATTTCAAAGACTTTGACTGGTGGCACTGGTAAGCAGGGGTTGCTGCTCTTGGACAAAGGGGAGAGCATGCTTTGGTTCCCATGATGTTTTGCTCATACTTAGCCGGGCTGTATTTAGTTCTTTAAACAGTAAGTAAATGTTTTTGGTTGCATTTTCAAGTATGTGACATTAAAGTTTACAGGTTATGTGAACGCTGGAGCAGCTCGGATAGGTACTGTGTTTGGGAGTGTTAGCTACCGTCATCCAAGTCAATCCAATGAGTCCCAATTCATAAGCCCCAGTGGGATTCTATAGCGGGTCAAGGTCATGCTAGAGATGTAAAAACCATATTTCCTCCCTCCAGAAATAAAAGCAATTTTTCTCTCTTGTACGTTGACTGCTGAGTCAATTCTAAATAAAGCTGTGTTATGAGTACAAACTCTGAACTGTCTGTGCTTCTTCTGTGTACACCCCACATAATACTATATTTAAATATAGTATTACTATACTATACTAAATACTATACTATACTCCATCTAACTACATCTATCATTTACCTACACCTCATGCCCCTGAAAAATCTAGTTTAGCCCTGCTTTCGTTGGTAACCTGTGTCAGACGGTCTTAAGCTGGTCTTTAATGGAGTGTAAGATGGTCAAAATGGTCGAACAGCTGAATGTCCAGATGGACAAAGTCATAACTTAAGCTCGTCAATCAGTTAAACAGACCAGGCTTAGTAGACTAGTCATCGCTTGTTCAGCCAGCTTGATCAAGCCAGTCATGCTGATGGACTAGTTTGGCGATGCTGATCACGTGTTTAGACCAACTAAATCATCAAACTCTAACGAAAACATACCCTATGCTGGTCCACCAGCTAAACTGGTTTGCCAGCTTAACCGGCTTGAGCTGTTATTTTTTTTTATAAATATTTAGAGTGAATGAAGGGCTTTTAAGCCTTTGATTAGTCTATTATGTGATAGAAATGCTTAAGAAAAATATCATATACTTGATTGTCAAAAACATTTTAAATTAGAAAGTGAAGAAATACTGTCATAAGACCTGCATATCTCACCTGATCCAAAGTTTGCTCTAAAGCCTCTGAAATATTCCAGCCCTGTCGTTACTTTAGTGTAACTGGGAAGAAACCTCTTCATTACGATGCCCTGAAGAAACACTAAATCACAAAGTGGGAATCAAACCATGTTTAACAGCATACCATATTTCAAAATAAAGCTTTGAGCATGTCTCCAAAATGACATCCTAATACTGATTTAAGAAATGGACAAGGTTAATAAATGAAGAGTATGGCTAAGCATCCCCTTCTGATCAAGATATATGTCTAAAAGTTCACAGACACCTGCTCATTCAGCACTTCTGATGCTAAACGTCTTGTCCTCCTGGACACTTTTGGACATATAGGGTCTGTTTTCCAGACAGGGCTTGAGCCTGGACTATTTCTCTTTCCATGGAGAATGTCCGCTCAGAAAGCTGTGTAGTCCAGCTTTACACCTGTCCAGGAAACTGACCAGTGTATAAACAGGCATGGTCAAAAGTGCGTAAAATTTCTTTCAACGGGCTTTACTCCACAGCCTGTTAACAACTGTCACCACAATTGTGGTAGATCCTCTCACTAGTCAGACTTGTTCATGTTACTTGGTGATCTACAAATCCATGCTCATATGCCCTGCTGACCCCCTGAGAAGCTATCAAAATATCCTAATTATTGTTTTAATGCTGGGACCATTTTCTGAGGATATTTTCCCAGGACATCTGCCAGCTTCTTGTTCAAATTTTCCCATTCCACCTTAAATAGTGCAGCACTGCTGTGCCGTTTAAAGTGGATCCCTTACAAAAAAAGCAGTTCATTCAAGTGTGCTATTAATACACTTGTTTTAAACTAAAAACAAGTGAGTATGCTTTCAGTTTACTTTTTATATACTCATCAGAGATATACTAAACAAAATTATTCTTAAGTATACATGTCTTATACTGACAAGTATACAGAAAAGTCTATTTGGTTATACTCATTATCAATCTTATGATCAAGATACACTTAAGAAAATTATGAGCAAGTATACTTAGGTTAAATAATAGGCCTACATTTGTGGAACTGATCTTGTATGGAAATTATAGAGTATAAGTATAATCTGTTTGAGAGCAGCCAGGGAGTGATTTTGGAGAGGTTGCATCCCACAAACTTACCTAAACAGGTTGTGTGTTTGTTTTGTTTGGTTAGGATCTAGACTGTTGATTTGAGTTTTATTCTTATTTTGGCATCAAATAGAATGTTTGTTTGAAAATTGTTATTTATAAAAAAAATTACATTCTTACTCCTGAGTACGTCTTGTGAATTTTTGTGTAGTCTCCTGAGAGTGTTCATATTAGTTAACTTCAAGCCTACTTAAAGTCCAGTTGAAGGTATATTTCAAGTACAAAAAGTAATACCTAAGTAATAACCTAGTAGTATACTTTAAAATGCAAAAGCAATAGTAAACTGTAAGTATTAAGTTCATTTAAAGAACCTACGAGTATAATTACAGTGTAAAAACTATTAAAGTAGTAGTTTACTGTATAAAAAGTATACTTAAAAGTGTACTTTTATAACTAAAACGTGGAATATAAGTATATAACTAGTAAATGGACAGTATACTTAAGTTTCAGTGTAGTTTACAGTATAGCTGCAGTACAAAATAAAACTTGTATGTAAAAAAGTTGTGTACACCTGAAGTATACTTTTATAAACTAAAGTGGGCCAATTTAGTCCTAAGAAATATTGAAATAGGACAGTTACAAGTAAAGCCTTGTAGGTTTAACACTGGTAGCATATTTATACTATTACTATAAAATGCGTTTGGTAAAACATTTTGATAAGTTAGATCAGACCACCTTACTTTTGTGTAGCTTAGTAACATCAGATTGATGCGCAGCTTTAGCTCGCATATAGCAATATTACTATAAAAGACTCCTCGTAATTCAGATTCCAGTGATATTCGGGAGAAAAATCTACACAGAACTAAACGTATCGGGTCCTGAACATTTTTATTTACCTTAGGGTGCGATAGAGGCGATTAGAAAACCCTGTTCGTTCTGGCCATAGAAACAAGAGTTTAGACACGGAATTCCTAACATGGAGATACCGCGACTACAGAATGACGCAGTGGTCTATTTGAGTGGTCGCTCGCAGAAGGTAAACCCTCTAGTTTATCTCGGAGCATCTGAGTACAATACTAGTGATCACGTACAGCTACAGTGAAATGCAGCTTATTGCTCACGTACATAACCGGGTCAGAAAGACGATGTGAGATCCGGATGAGGTCGCAGCCTTTAGGAAACTTGGTGTCTGATCCAGTAACGCAGACTGCTGAACATCCCGTGCCGACTGCTGATCATCGCTATGGAGTGAAGGTGAATGTAGAGGATCCGGACAGGAAACGTTAGCCTACAAACAGCTTGGAATACTTGGATACTCCATGTTGTCCAGTTTGTCCTCTGACGAATAAAAACGTCAGACAACCTTGACCACTGAGACACAAAATGGCTCGAGATGCGTTACCACATCTATCCACGTGGGGGCGGCAAAGCAACACACTGCACACCATAAAACGCTTATAAACTGTAGAATTTAATTTGTGTTCTCCATACAATTTCCTTATGTTTCAAATATCAATGTACATATTTTTGTTAGATTATTGCTTTACAGTAAAATGCATTGGTTGGATACATCCATTGATAGCAAGACAATACATTCAAGTTAAACACCAATGTCATAAGTTGAAGTTCTTTATATCTCTATCCTTTAACAGCGGCTTGGAAGAAGGATCCCACATACCGTCCCTCTCACAGTGCAGCAGGTCACAGTCACTCTGAAAGCAGATTTGTGTGTGTGGGTGTGTATCTCTGTGTGTGTGTACTTCACCATGAAACAAAGTGAGCACGTGTGGATACAAGTATTCAGACACTACTTCAAATACTTGTGTTTTTTGTATTCATAAACATGAAAAATGTCTGCATTCATAAGCATAACAAAGTTATGTTTAATAGGGAACCTGCATTCAGACACTATTTTTAAAAATATGTATGTGAGGGTTACTTTACATATATAAATAAAAAATAAGTTCAAAAGGGATCTTGTGTTATTATAAAAGATGTTGCCATTGGTTGGGAAGATTTCACATAAGAAGTTGCAATCATGGTGAGGATGAAGGGGCTTCCTAAAGTTCAACATTATTTACCAACATTTGTATGGAAAACATCATGAAGCCACAGCAAAGACCTTAAACATCCCTGTCAGTACGACTGGTTTGATCTTCTCACAGCACCTCTCACATTTCACAGATAATTGCACAGATGATCCTAAGATCCCAGCGCTCACAGTGAAGTATGGAGGTGGGAGCATCAAGATATTGGGTTGCTTCTCTGCAAATGGTACAGGGGCATTATACAACTAAACCACTATGCTGCAAAAAAGGTAATTATTTTGTACCGTAGACGTCTCAAAGCTGTAACTGCCAAAAAGGGCTTTGCAATTAAGTACTAATGTTATTCATTTGTGGTGTCTGAATACATTTTCCAGTTAAATCTTTCATAAATTTTATTTTTCAAGTACAAAGTCAACAGACATTGGGCCTCATTCACCAACCGTTCTTCTTAAACCCACTTAGTAGTAGTTTTCACGAAGATTCTGACATTCATAAATGATTTCGTATTTAGGATACGTAATCTGATGTAGACATTTTTTAAGACCCTTTGTCTAGAACAAATTTAAGAAAAAACTTAGGAACATATTGGTGAAGTCTGAAGTGGACATGTGCACTGGAAGTTTATTAAAGGTCAAAAACAAGTGTCTGAATACTTGTATCCCCTCACTGTGTGTGTGTGTGTGTGTGTGTGTGTGTGTGTGTGTGCATATGTGTGTGTATTGTGCATGTGGGGAGTTCTGTATATGTGCGTTTTCATGCATGGACATAGAGTGCAGTCAAGTTTAAAGCATCTTCTTTTAACTTAAAGTGTCTCTTCTGAAGAGGTATATAGTGGGTTTTTTTCTGTGCATACAAGACTTCTGTTCATGTCAGAGTGCTATAACACTGGCAACAAAGATGCCGCCCCCTATAGTGGCCCTTTTCCCCGAAAGGAATAGAACAATAACTCGGTCCCTCAGGAGGCGGTATGGTTTATAAAACACTTTGAGTCAAAAATACTCATCTCTCAATTGAAATATAAGAATAATAGCTGTTACAGTAACAGGCATGGCACAGGACTGATTGACCCTAGTAGAGCAGGATAACACAAATAGCCTATCTACAGTGATTTGGTATGATTCATCTGTATTGTTAGATCTGAATAGGAGCCTGCTCATTGTTACTATCACATGAACAGTCTTGGCTCACTAACAAAAAAATTAAATCACTGCATAATCGGAAAGGAAGTGTCAGGAATACTGGTTTGTACGCATGAATGAACTGCATTCTAAAAATGAAATGAATAATCAATATCTGTTTTCCTATCTTCTTTGATCCACGCAACGTGGTAACAGCAAAGAGACATGAGTCCAAGCCTCCAGTGACATTCATTTGGCCTTCAGACTTGTAAAACCTGTTTCATTCAGAGATAGTAGCCCACACACCAACTACCACAGAACAGAGACAAAAAATAATGCATCACGTGACACCACCACTGTTCTACACAGCACACAGCCATGAAACTGAAGTCGCCATTCCTCATAGCACTAATAATGTAGGTGAGGGAACAGATGGCTGACTATTTGCATGCGCTTGGAACATTATTCAACGGGCAATTTCAGCAGCGTTCACAATCCAGAGCCCCCTCTATTTAAACACAGCCAGCCCTGCTCAGTCTTCTCCAATCGAGATTGCATATGTCGTTATATACTGCGCACATCAAAATACGACAAGAAAGACCTTGTCTTTCCACATAGACAACAGTGACGGCACCACTTAGCATTAGCTCTGAACGACAACACCTGACATTTCCACAACTTTGACGTTTCACACAGACACAAACAGCTCGGCCCTCTGCTCGGGTTAGGAACTCCTGAGCACTGTGGGGGTTGTTTTTTTGGCGGAGGGTGAAGTGGTAGCTGCCATTTATATCAGGAGGTTGACAGTGATCTTCTGCCCTGCTAGTTAAAATGGCTTTTCTTGTGTCAAAATCATGCATCACAGACAAAAAAATACAGACCCAGACGAGGGAGCTGGAGTGGATCGCCAAAATAAGCAAAAAAAAAAAATGTATGTCCACTCCCATCCCCCAGGAAGCACTGGTCGAAACGTGAGGATCTCTGACATCGTATTTACATATAAACAACAAGTGTGTTAACTTTTGCAAAAATCAGGATCCCTGTTTGCAGTCATGTGAGTCGATTTTTATAAAGTCAGCCACAGTTGTAGCCGCATAATCCACACCAGAAAGGGGCAGTGAAGAGCTCTCCTGAAGTCTGTCCACTCAGAACGCTTTGTATAATCATAGTAAGATTAAATGATTGATTATGGAGAATTTCATTTTAATAGAATTGGATTGAAACAAGATGGCAGACTTGAGAGCTTCGCTTTGACCCCATTTTAGTCATCTGGACTGGTCCAAAGCTCAGTGACCCTTGGGTCCAGTCGTAAGTCATGAGCACAAAGGATCCACAAAGGATCTTCCTCCACTACAGGATCTACTGTGGCACTGCAAATAGGATATCTTTGCCGTAGGCTGTACTGTAATGCACTGTTACTTTCACAAAGGTCTTCAGAGTGCCTGAATTCACTCATCAGAGCAAAGACTAGCTCTCATGAAGACAATGAATCCTTTTCATTGTCATCAAACGCTGCTTCTGTCTTTATTGCTCCTTATTGCACCAGACCAGGAAAAGAGATAATGTCTTTCCTCACTGCAATCACTGTGCAACCTCTAGGTTTCGCCCTATTATCTAAAGTGCAACATGTTCATTTTCATTTTTCTATTCATTCTCAAGGGAAGACAAAACATGAGAGAATGTAAGTATGCATTCATATTGTTTCAGTGGGCAGCATTCCTCTTCTTCATATATGTGTGAAGGTATTTGTGCGGTCACGGTTCAAAATCCCCTCATGTTCGTAGGGGAAAAGAAGACATGCCATGCTGCTGTGAGTGAGATTGTGTGATCATGATTGTCCTGGATTCAGTTGTGGAGGGCTGCCCAGTCAAATGGAGAGCTGCCAAAGAAAGAGGTCTCTCTAATGCCCTGGGAGTGCTGGAGAGAGTATGGTGAACAACCTCCTCCATGGGCACGGACAGGCCAAGGACTTCTGGGAAATGTAATTCCCATCATCTCTTCCACAGAAGAGGGAAAATGCTGTGGGAGACAGTGGTCTTCTGTAATAAAACTCAGTGGAATAAAATGGTGGTGTGCATCTGAAGGGTTTTCAGGTCTTCTGTAGGTAGGTCTGGTTTGGAATTCAGTTTGGTTGCGAGTTGGAAGATTTTGGGCCTACAGGCCCTCCTGACACATGGGCAGGTTGACGAAAGTGAAGACATTGTACTCGATCAGGATGGAGAAGCAGAGGAAGACGCCGTACAGCATGAGCACGTACACGCCTAGCTTGAAGTCCAGCTTCCACTTGTTGACATGGATCCCCAGGACCTGTGCCACAGCAAAGGACGTAAACATAGGTTAAGATAGTGTCACATTCTGATATTTGTGGTCAGAGATTAAATATCATTGTTCTACCTAAAGACTTTTGCTGATGAAATTTATTGTAGTTCAGACAAAATGATTCAGGCCAAACTTAGATGTATTTATCCGATCAGCTAGTTGACTTGGGCCCAATCCCATTTCATCCCTTGCCCTAAGATGGCTGTGCAAGCAACCAAAGAAACCCACAAATGCAAGCATTTTCTCGGTTAAAGAATTACGATAACCATTGTATTATTTTAGTTTAATGTAGTTACAATGTATTATGGTCCTTTTCTTAATAAAAAGCATAGAAAATCGCTAGTAGTATGCTGATGTCTTGGTAGCTATCTAGCTAAATTTCCCGATCCACCTTAAAGGTGCAGCAGTCACATTCTGGCGCCTTAGGCGTCACAACAGCTGCACCATTTAAGATGGAACAGGAAAATTTGAACAAGAAGCTAACGAATAGCTGACTTCAGCTTCAAATCACTGAAGAATTAGGGGTGGGCATTGTTGCAACCCCCTCTTGGAAGGCATATGATGCCCTAAATTTAACTAAGACCAGCCATGAGGTTGCTGAACTTTCCTGCTCCTCTGCTGTCACTGCAGACTGGCAGGGTCGCTTACAGAGCACTGCTAGTAGCCTGTTAATTATGCAATGTTTTTTTTTTTATTTGAGGGTTGTCCTATTTTGTAGGGGAAGTAACTCAGTTCCAAGGGGCAAGGTGTCCCCCTGAAAACAAAGAGTAGGGGTAAAAATAAGAAAGGGGACTGGGCCTTGGTATATGCATGGTGTAGACTAACTTGTAGTTTGGCGATTGGCTAACTAGGTCAAGTATTGTTGCCTAGCTAGCTACAGTAATGGATTAAACTTAAAATTGAACTTCCACTACCTTCCACATTTCAGTTTAACCCTTGTTTGTAGTTCATGTTACTCAGATTACTGTAACTTACTGTTAAAGCCACTGAGCCCAGGAGTAGCACTACGGAATACACCAGTCCTCTACTGTTGATTTTCACCTGAGACAAGAGGAAAGAAACAGTTTTACCATCACTTTCTTTTGCATCTGTGCTGTCAGAAGCACAGTGCCTTCACCCAGCTCTCCTCAGAGAATGTGCGTGGGTGTGTGTATGGTTGACAGAGACAGAGAACGACAGATACCACAGAGCCATAGTTGACAGCCATCGTTTGGATGCCCCAGGGAATGCCGAGCCCAACCAGGATATCAAAGACATTACTGCCAATCGTGTTGGAGACAGCCATGTCCCCCAGGCCTGTGTAGACACAAACATTCACACAGTGGAAATGGGCTCAGAATGTAGAAAACATCAAAGAGGAAGGAGAAAGCAAAATGCACAAGGTGCATTTTTACCTTGTCGAGCTACAATGAGACTAGCTATACAGTCGGGAACACTGGTGCCAGCTGCTAGAAAAGTGATGCCCATTATAACATCAGGTATTCCCAGTGTGTATCCAATAATTGTCACCTGTGCATAATGACAAATGCAAGCTGCTAATTAAAGAAATCAAGACTATCAATGACATTAATCAACACAGTACAGTGTTAAAAGGTTCACAGAAAAGCTCATGCACACAGCTGTTTCTTGCTATAAGTGGCATAAGCAGCTCCTCTGGGCCACCAGGGGAAATTTACTTTTATAATATATTCAATATTGTTTGTAAAAAAAGTCCAGAGTTCAGAGTCGTTTTTATTTATTCTTATCAAAATTAATTATTATTATTATTTTTTATTCTTGCATAAGAAAGAATGTGACTGGGGTAGGCAGGGACCCCCAGGTAGGATGTTGCTTAGGTCCCTCAAATGTTCAGAAACAGCCCTGGTCAAGCAGTCAGGCAGATGAAGTTAAAAAGTCAAAGTGACAGTAGGGGTCCAAGCACTCACCATCCAGACCATGAAGTAGGAGAACACGGCTATCCACAGAGTGGAGAGGAAGAAGGAAAGCATGAAGAACCTCTCCCAGCGAGGTTTGCCACAGTTTGGCACAGTGAAGTACAGCAATGCCAGGACAGGCCATGAGATGATGAACTTCAGTCTGTTCACAGCACCCCCTGCAGGTATGATAAGACAGTAAATCCCCTCATTTGCTGTGCATTCACGGTGTTTCACAGTTGTGACAGGCATTTCAGGTCATTTTGTGTACCGAGATAAAAAGCAAGTAATCAGTTACTTACTTGTTATATGGCAAATTAGGCAGCTGAATGAACAATAGCCAAATAGCCTTTGTGTATCAAAAGAGTATAATGCTAATGCTATCTCAGCTAGTTACAATAGCAAGCTTTGCACACATTGACAACAATGGATAGCCCTGCCCTGCCATGGATTCAACAGTAACTCCAATAATCAGGTGACATATGTGTTGGGATATTTTATTTTCCTATTTTGGTGTTTAGGAGTTTAAGCCCTTGTTAACAGTCACCTATATTAAAAAGTACTGTCGTTCATAAAGATTTAAACACTTACATAGTATTTTGCAGAAGTCAGAGACCACCCATCATTTATTTATTTTTTAAAGTTCCAAAAACTGGAGTTAAAAACAAACACTAAAAGGTAAAATGGGACTCCCAACAACCATGCAAGACCCGGTAGGCCACTAGAACCGTTACCACCACCAACTTCTAAGAGTGAACTTGCTTCCTCCTTTTTTTCTTACACTGACTTGTACTTATTAGCTGTTTTGACTGGAAATGAAATGAAGGGTGGTCTCTGATTTTTGCACATAACTATACAATGATGGGGAAACAGTGCAGTAGCTTTGATAAATGTTCAGCTCATAAGCAAACATATGTAAAATGTCCTTGCAGTGCACAAAACACAGCAGGCACCTCCTAACAAAGTCAATGAAATGTTAAGCCGATAATCTTGAAACAATACACACTGGGATCTTTTTCTTTAGGGATTTTTTCACACTGGTGCTCAGCAATGCATGTGCTAACTGTGAACTTTGCAGTCCATTACATAAAGTAGTACAACGTCAAAACATCCAAAAGCTAATTACTATCGATGATCAGTGGTGTGATAGCAGATAATCCAGGTGTGAATTCTGAGGATTTTGAGACGTGGCAACACTAAGACGTGTGTGCTTGTGTTTGTGAGACATGCTCACCAGGAATAATGAAGGGAGATGACAGCTCATTCTCCTCGTCCTCCGTCAGCTTGTCCTCTGGCACGTTGCCGTTCTCCAGGGTGTCCACTTTCCCATCAACCACCAGCGTGCTGTCCACCCCGTTGGACGCCTGCATCAGCCGCTGTTGCTGCACGCACAAACAGACACAGGAAAAACAACCGCTTCAAAATTCACAAGCTACTTCTAAATCACATTACTACAGTAGATAGTCATTCTTAGATATTAAAAGTCAGCATGAAAAACTAAAGAATCTTAATGTAACAGCCTGCTTGTGTTCTCCTTTAGTTAGTTACTCATCAACTTAACATCATAACAGAATAAATACGCTACAAAGGAGCACAACGTAGTTATTTTTCTATAATCAGTATTTTTCTGTTGCTTCTAATTTTGAGATATTGACTGCTTTTGTTTAGCAGTTTGTCACATTAAAAAAATATTTTGGTTTGTACTTTTCATACTTTGAGCAAATATTTCATGACAAGTAGGCCAATAGAAATTTTGAATATCTTGTTTCCAGACAGTTTTTTAATTACATTAAGTTAAAAACATTATTTCCTTTTCTTATGTTAGTAGCATTTAAACAACAGCACCAATACTTCTTCCAAACTTATTTTAGTTGTTGAATTTTATTTCTTAGTACTTGTTTTTCCATATTTATTTTAGAGTAGCGCATGTTTCTGCATCATTGTTCAGCACAGAATTGTTACTGAGGATGATCTATAATTTATGCATATTTGCTTTTTGGGTAGCTCATACTTATTGCAATAAATGATTGATATGTATGCAGTTGCACACTTTCTTTTGCAATAAAATTATCAGAGGAGAATTTATGCAGCTACATTACCTGCTGCTGCATAGGCCTAATCATTTAACCTAATACTGAAAAAAGCCATTTACTGACACAAAAGTGGCAAATGCTGGGCTTTCATTTGTAGTAAACTTTCCATGAAAGAAGTAAGGAAAAATGTGAAAGGGCTCAAATCAGTGGATCAAGGAAGTGAAATAAGTCTTGATCCCAACCTCTGGTGGATGGAAAATTTTTTTTGTTCTCTACTTTCAGACTTATGGCGTCACCTCTGCATCAACTTTACATTCCATTCTTTGAACGGCAGTGTGGGGATAATTATAGTAAGGAGTTCAATCCCTTGACGCTTATGCTCAGGACACTTGCTGGGAAAGCCTGACAAATCCTCAACAACGAAGTGCTGAGTGTGTTGGTAACAAAGGTTTTACATTCTGACTAATTCGGATAGTCAAAGTTAAATTTCGTATCAATGTATCATCAATTATTTTCCCAATGCAATTAAACTTTCTGCCTGACACCCCACACATGTATTTTTACTAATACACCATGACAGTGTTGTTCTGGGTATCAAAGTACTTCTTTTTCAATGCAATTTTCTCTCAGACTCCCCCAACAAGGGGTGTACATTCTAACTAAATATGTGAGTATAATGAATGGATATTCAGTTAACTACAGGGAAGAAAAAAGGGTAGTAGCTTGGGTGCTAGAAGGTTAAAAAAATGGGGGGTGCCAAGTCACTGACTCATACTCACCCATAGCCTAGCTCCACGCTAGAAGATTAAATATAAAGTGTTCAATATTCGAGCACACGTGTGAGGCTGTCACCTGCGTTTCATCGAATAGTCTTCAACTCTGCATGTACTTTTGCTCTTCATGACTAAACGTGTTGCACCGTAGCAACATTAAAGTGGTCACACCAGTGCATAGGCAGAAATAATTTTTTAGGCAGGCCTGTGGAAAAAGTGTGCAGGCCAGGTAGATACAATTTCCAAATGTCCTGCAATGTAACATGGAAAGCACAGCAAACTTAAATACCTTAACATAGCCATCCTTGGTTAAGGTATACTACTACAGCAGGCCTGGAAAAAATATGTATGTCTCGATGCATTTAAGTAGACATTTGCTTTGGCATTTTAGCTTTTGTAGCTAGTTAAAGAGCCCTGTAAGTATCAAAATTGCAGACTACTACAATAACTATGTTATGAAAATTAGTTTTTGGCTGTGGATGGGTAGAGAACGTAATACTGTCCTCTATTGGGATGTCACCTTTACACGTTCTATAGACACATCTTTTGACCACAGCTAGAGCTACAAATTCAAACACTGCCGTTCAGATTACAGCTTGAAGCCACATCTGATAGCAACGGTTGCTATAAGGCAGAGCTTGGTGGAGAGCGTAATAATTGGACTGGCCATAATACAGCGACGGCACTCACAGAAAACAAAGCAAATTTCATTCTATTAAAAAATGCAGCTAAATAATCATTTTTTCCCCATTTGATTGAAATGGGCCTGCGATCAATCTTCGCAGTGTTCCTTGGAGTTCTAAAGACGATTGATCGTGTACTGAAGCAGGGCTGTAAATGATGAAGAAACGGATACTTCCGCTGTTTCAGTTCTGACCTTTTTTTCAGAAGGAATAAGAAGTTATCCATGTTTAAACAGTTTACCAAAAACAATCTCCTGCAATAATCTTGCAAAAGTACTCTAAAAGTACTGATCCTGTATCAGCAGTCTACTGTGCGCTCTCAATTAAATGTGTGTACCTATGTACACAAAATAGTTATGCATGTGTCTGCATATGCTGTGGGAGGAGGAAAAGCTTTATGAACTGGCAATCTCATTAAATGCATATAATTTGTATGAAGGAATGGCCAATCAACATTTTCAGAGGGTCCTAAAGGGTTGCAGAATGATTTTCTGCTCAACGGCGGCACTCACCTCATTGATGATGAGTCGGCTGGCCATGCGCAGGCGAGTCTTAGGGCCGAAGTGGTTGGTGATCATTACTCTCAGGCCGGCCTCAGGGAACCGATAGTTTGGAGGACTGGAGTTCATCATTTCATCCACCATTACTACTGACCCACGAGTGTACATCTTACTTGGCTTTACTATAAATGTACAAGAGCACAGTGAGCCAATGCATACAGATGTTTTCACATTATATCAGTAAATATTTCCCATTCTGTGGTTTCACATTTGAAAGCAAAGCACAACGTTGTGGGCATTAATCAAAAATGACAAATCTCCACTAATTTCCACTGTCCAAATGGTCCTAAGATCCTTTTTTATATGAATGTGATAATCTCATGTAACCTGAGCTGGGTTTCCCAAAAGCATCTTAGCACAAAGATGATTCTTAAATGGTAGAGTGAGCATCACTCTGAACACTCTCTCTACCAGTGATCTTAAGAAGTTAAGATGATCTTAACACCAAGATGCTTTTGGGAAACTGGGCCCTGATCTTTAGTCTTATGCTCACCAGTCGCACATCTTGTCTCTGCTAACTTCTCTCTCCATACTACTTAGTCAATTATCAAAGGTGTGCATTTTAAAAGAAACTGAACCGTTATAATTATGTAGATAATGTTTGGTCATTGTATGAAATGCCCAATGGGCCTAACTGCCCTCAACTGATTTGAATGGACCAGTGAACTGAGCTTAGATGTGATGATGTAACTGGACCCACACAAGTTCTTTCATATGTGAAATCGGTGCGAATGTTTAAAATAATTCATAAAACCAAAAGAAGAACACACAACCACAATCTCACCCACACACACACCCACACACACACACACATTTGTTCTCAGGAGGACACTTAAGTCTCACTGTCACATCCTCAATCACACTATCATAGACCTTTATTACTCAACACACTTTGACACACAAAAATATCTGAATTATGCAGTAGTTTATCATGGAATCAAATTTTCCCAAATGTATTAGTTTAGCCAAGAAATGTGTGGTGTCTGAGGTTTGCTTCTTTAGTTTTGCGCTGTAGCTAAGCGCTATGAGCTAATAAATAATACTAATGTAGCTAAAAAGTAAACTGCATGCCTAAATCATCACACACCTGCTTCAAACTGTGCAGAGCTGTTGAGTACTCTCAATTAGATTAGCTTATGAAAAGTGTAAAATTTATCTGTTTATCTGATCTTTTCTGCGACACTTCATATGTGAAGATGATTTCAGGAAAACCGAGCCCAGAAGAGAATCTAAAAATATAAGATGCAGGCTAAGAAAGTATGCAGAGAAACAGACTGACTACATTCTGTAATTGTAGAACTACAAAGAGCACCTGTATGGCAAGTGGCGCTAATAAAATGGACAATGAGTGTAGAAGCAAGGAGGTGCACTTAATGAAGTGGCCGGTTGGTGTAGATAACAGTGTTTTATACTGTACACTGGAGCATAGATCCAGTGCAAAATTAAAAAAGCAAACTTTGGACATCAAATATGTCTTGGCTGACTGATACCCTTTATGGCTAATCCATAATTTAACACTTAGAGTATACACTTCAAACCATTAAATCCAGTCAATGGACACTGAAAGCCCTGTAGGTTATTTAAAGGAGTTCAGTGCATTTTTCAGCCCAATCTCAATCAATCACATCTGCGGTGTACTTTCAATTACCACAGACAATAATTTCAATGCATTTCCTTTTAATATAATTATACTCCTTATAATTAGTAGCAGTGATCATTGATTTCTATAATAAGTGTGCTCTTTTCTAAGTACAAGAAAACACGTTAAAGTTATTGTCTGTGGTAATTATTCATTATTTGACTTATACTGACAACTCATCTGAACTATCGGGACACTTAAATTGTTCGGAAAATGCTGAGAAACTCTGGAGAAACTCCCAGAAGAAACAGTCAGTTTTCCTTCACAAAACAGCAATTATCACCTTTGAAGCACTGTCATCAGGTTACTGGTCAATCATCGCAGGTGACCCGACTGCATCATCCTATCACCCAGGCCTATCTGGGAGTAATCCTTTAATATTTAGCATTTTCACCAATACATATTTTTACCAACCTGTTGCCTGGTGCCAATGCAGTATTGCTCACATACACACAACACAACCCTTGCGCACAAACACTCACTGCACATACATGTATGCACACTGTATAAAATATGCATCTTGCCTCCTCTTCCATATCCACACTCACACTACAGCACATCCACACTGTGGCAAACACACCTCCACAAACAATTCAGCTTACTGTAACATTACATAAATGTTTTAAAAGCATGTGGGAGGATTAATCACGCAGCACAGAAACACACGCAAACACAGCTCTGCAGTGGAAGGCAGGATCCAGGGTGGGTTTAGTAAGGCTAAACAGACAGGCTTCAGCGCAGGAGCGGCAGGGCTGCTTAAGGAGCACGCAGGTTAGAGCTGCACTACAGCACACAATCTGAAACACAGAACTATCCAGCAAGCAAGCAATGGCTCACTCACTAAGGTTACATCACACACCATTAGTGGTGTCTACAATCTAGGGCTGCATGATATGTCTGTGGCTGATATGTGGGAAAGTTTCATTATTATTATCAGTCTGATAATGAAATTACAGCCAATAATTACAACCAATGTTTTAGAACCCTGTTTTAGTTCACACAAATTGACTGTAGTTATTGTAGTGCCATTTTAAGTCTTGTTGGAGTCTTTTATTCGGCTGGTTGAGCAGCAGTTGATTGTCCTCTAAAGTAGGCATGTCAAACTGGGGACCTTCTGGGCCAAAGTGCTGTGGAGATTAGCGTTTACCCTCATCTAACTCTCTGAATTCAGTTCATTAAGGACTTGCTTATTAGCTGATGAGCTGAAGTAGGTGAGTTTAATGAGGCAGTGTGCTGAAGTCTGCAGTGTTTTAGCCTGTGACGACTGGAGCCTGACACGTGTGCTCTAAAGCCAGGTGTATACTGCGCAACTTTAGAAATCTTGTTCTTTGATGACTCACAGTCATATCAATGTATTAACGTTTATACCTTGCATTTCTATTCAGGCAAACAGTAACACTGGCATATATGGACTTTACTAATGCTTGGCGAGAATATGCAAAGGCAGAATGTTTTAAGTGGCCAATGACTTCCTACTGCCACGGTGTCAGCAGCATTTCACTGTGTGAGCAGACCATTGTCCACTGCCAGCTTATTTGTTCATTAGTATGGCAGCATACTAGGCTTACGTCACATGCTTTCAGGTGGTATGAGATGTTGGTATCCTTGCATTTTTTACAGGTACAAGTATTTAAAATGATTAAGCATGGTATCAGACCAATACCCGATACCAGTAATAAAAATAAAAATATCCCTAATAAAAATAATGTAAACGTTTGCAAAAATAGTCTTGTATGAGTTTGCTATGTCATGGCTGTTTAAAATTAATCAATGATTTATCTTTATAGTTTAAACCTTTTAACATTCTTAATGCTCTTCACATATGGTTAGTAGTGTGAACTAGAAGTCAGGCCGCCAAAAATTAGAATCATTTGTCCTGCTCCCACTCATGCAGTTCCGTCATGGCGAACTGACATCCAATATTTGACATAGTCTGTTCACAAATACAATATTCTCTGCTGAAACAACATAGCACTCATGGTCATCAGGCTCACTGTGAAGTAACTTCACCAAACGCCATTTATTCCCAGTAAACACAAGGCATGAATTAGACCACAGAACGGTTATTTTTGGTATTTTGCTGGGCTTGGCAGCTGTAATCATCTCTGTAAGCTACAAGAATTTGCATGCTGTTCACATGATCGTTTGCTTCGCAACCCTTTAGAACGACTTAATTTATTTTAATTGTTTTACTGTTATCATTTTATATTGTATATATATATATATGATTTAGTGATTGTTCTACTTTATTAAGCCTATTCATTAATATACGGGATTTCTCTTTATGCATGCTTTGTCCCACTCCCGCCTGCAGTGGGCTGGTTACCCGCTCGCAACACTAAAAATTAGTCCTGTGCTGCAAGATATTGTGGTGAGTTTCATGGGTCCAGTGTGAATCCAGAGGGAGTGCAGATCTCTAGTGTGAACATAATTATTGGTTATAAATATCAGCCCAGAAACTCTATATCAGTGCATCCCTACTAAAAACAAAGCTAGTGTGTGCACGGTTAAGCAGAAGTGGCTCAAATTGGCAAGAATGAGACGACAGAGTGGTGTTAGTCTCAAGAGTAATCATCACTGCTATTTTCTTGATTTCAGTAGAGTGAGAGCAGAAAGGGTAAGCAGAGCTTTCGGGCGCAGAGAGAAGCCTGTCTAGTTACCCTTACCTGCACTGAGTAACGGCCATGTAGGATCATCCCAAAACTGCTCATAACATGCATTACCGTCTTCAAGCTCGCTGATCATTGCGTTACCATTGGCAACACCCTTATCATCCTTCCCGGCAAAGTAGTTCTGCATGCTGGTGTTAAACCTGAGGCAAATATAAAACTCCAAATAAAGTCTCATCCATATAATTCTGAATCTATCAAGATTGCTTTGTTGTGCCTAGTACATTCATTTTTCATATCAGTATTATATTCCATCCACCTTCCAGGCTTTATTTATGCTTTCAGGACACTTATTGCTTACATACTATTCTGTGTTTGGATAAATGTGCATATACCATATAAAATTGTTAGAAACACTTTACTAAGGGGCAGTGATCATAAGGCTACACAACACCTACATAAGCTTCCATGATAACTGACATAAACCTACATAAAAATGAATAAAAGCTTATTCCAAAAGGTGTCACCTGTCATTAAGGTTGTTTTGTCAACTTTGATGTCCAGTTGACAAATATTTAGGTCAGGTGAGACTTTTTTCTGACATTGGGTTGTGTCATGACCTTTCTGGATGAAAAGGATGGATGCATGACATAGCATGCTAGACAGCAGGAGAACGTTTGGCTCTTGTAGGTGACATGTTGGATGTGGGAGAAATGGGCAGGCGTAAAGACCTGAGAGACTTTTAAGGGCTAAATCGCTATAACTGCACTACAACTGGGAGAGAGCATCGCTGGAACGGCAAGGCTTGTGGGCTGCTTCTGGTTAGCACTGGTGAGTACCTACAGAGGGGAGGGACAAATGAACCAGTGACAGGGTGTTTTTTTGAGAATGGTTTGAAGAACATGACAAAGTGTTCTAGGTGTTGCTTTGGCCTTCAAATTCCCCATATCTCACTGTGATCGAACATCTGTGAAATGTGCTGCAAGTTTGATCTGCTGAGGATCTGCTGCTTACGTCTTGGTGCCAGATACCACAGAGCACATTCAGAGGTGTTGTAGAGTCCACGCCTTGGTGGGTGGATTATGTGTTGATGGCATGCAGAAGACCAACAGCATATTAGGCAGGCGGTCATAATGTTTTGGCATCAGTGAAGATGTTAAGGTGACTTGACAACAAAGTTGGCAAATGCATCATTTATGGCAAATAACTCCTATTGGAATAAGTGTTTATAAAGGCTTAAGTGGGTCTGTGTCAGTTTTCATGCAGGGCTTATGCAGGGGTTGTGTAGCGTTATGAACACTGCCCTGCAGTAAAGTGTTACCAAAATATTTTGTCAGTTCATCCTAAAATGTACTTCATGTTGTAAAAAGCACCCTAACTGGTTTTATTCAGATTAAATAAATGTTTTGAATAAAATAAAACCAAGCAAAACAATAGTTTGAATGAAAACAGCAATATTTTTCATAAATCCAAATTGCATAAACGATTTTAAATCAATCTCTTGCATTTTGCATCATCTATTTTGTGTTTAAGTAATTTCTGCATAAACTTACTTCATAATAATGATGTAACCAACATACATGACCATCAGCACCAGGCTCTCCCACCTGTAAAGACAGAGGAGTGAACAACAGGTTACAAATCTACCACCAAACTAAACCAGAAAATGTTTATGGTGTGAAGTGCACTTACCACACAATCTGCCCATCATAGATGAACTGAAAGAAGAGGAGACACAAAAAGGCAAAGTGAATAAATCTGACTGATTACATTTTGAGGTGTTAATCACTGATTTTTTCTTTTTTTTGCTAATTTACTAATAATAATAAACTGTCTATTTTAACATGAAAGCAGTTCAGCCTGAATTATGCTCATTCATAAAAGCTAATGATGATAAAATGTCACCACTGAAGGTCAGTAGATGCAATCAAGAAACTCAAGAGAGAAGACTGTACAGCTTGTTGGGTTAAAAAATTTACTAAGCACTAGGGGTGGGAATCTCTAGGCACCTCACGATACGATTCGATTACTATTCAGAGGGCTGCGATGCGATTATAAAACGATTATCAATGCATCTCGATGCATCTTTTTTTCTATATAGCACTTATATTTTCTCACTGTGTGAGCTCAAGTTTCGAGTTCAAGTTTCAAGTTTATTTGTCACTTGCACAACATGTCAGGACATTTATGCATGAAATGCTTGTGGTGAGGCTCAGCTAATCACTCTACAGAAAGTAAATAAGTAAAAATAAAAATACAAGAAAAAACAACTGAAATATATTAAATATACACAAAATATACACAGAATATACACAGAATATAGAGACAATATACATTTTAAAGTGACTAAGTAACTCTGTGTTATTGTTATTTAAAGTGACTTGGTACTTGTAAAGCAAAGTATTTGTAATGATCCATAATGAATTTACTTCCAATATCTTTTTTAATAAATCAAATGGAAGTGATGTGGCAAGTGAACTAGAAGGCTCTCATTCAGTGTTCTTGTTTGGAGCACGAGAAGCTGCTGCTACTCATCTGTGATAAAATGCGCAGTAACAGTGAAATAAGATCCTGTGGTAATGGATCTCCACGCAGCACGTTACAGCTATTCTACCCGTTTTCTTTAGTGATTTTAGAACTTCGGTTTTGGTCTTGTTGTAGAGACGGGGGGATCGCTGTGTTAGTAAAGTATCTTTGAGACGGGACGTGTGCAACATAGCGCTAAAGCCCTGTTTTGCAATGACTGAGGACTGGCGTGCAAACTGCAGGTCACATAGCAGCGATGCGTTATTCGCATTTATAAGCAGCGCAGTTGGTTTCCTGGCAAGTTAAATCTGCAACGAGAGACTGTCACACACTAAAAAGTGGCGAAGCTGAAGTTAGCTTCAATTCTCCCGTTCCACCTTAAATGGTGCAGCATTTACATTCGGCGCCTCAGTTAGAATTTAAGGTGGAACGGGAAAATTCGAACAAGAAGCTGGAGAATAAGAAGCAACTTCAGCCTGGTAAAACAGCTGAACGTTGAGAGACATTTAACTGATCTACTTCTGAGGAAAAGTTTTCTGGCGGAGATGGGAGGAAAGCGGCTGTAGCTGAAGCTTAAAGCAGAGCAAAGTAAATCTGCGCTCTCGTTTATATTGTTTAGCCTATACTAGGACATTAACACATACTGAGACATACTGGACATTAAACGTTGTGGCTCCCAAGGTGGTTTGATTTTTGTTGAAAGGTCAAAATGTCTCTTCTTAACATTTGTGTTGTGACTCCTGACCTAACCTGGCTTTAATGCAGAGGGAGCTGGTCGGATTTCTCACTCATCCAGTAGTGTTTTTGTTATGTGCCGCCACAGACTGTCCAGGCGCTGCACTTCCGCACTTTCAAGTTCTGCCTTTTGCGTTCCGTCAACATTACGTTATAAATTAAATATTTAGAAAGTCATTTTTGACATTTGTGAATCGATTCAGAATCGTTCACGTCCGCATCGAGATGCATCTAAGAATCGATTTTTTTCCGCACCCCTACTAAGCACACAGTTATAAGAGAAATACAATACAATATTTATTTTAATGACATACTCACTGCAATAAGAGCTACCACAGACAACGTGTAGTAAAAGGAGTCTCGAAACACAGAAAACTTGGTAAGATGAACAACCTTCGGAAAAGACAGAAGAGCTTTCTTAACCCATTGCAGTAAACACTGAGTACTTACATATTACACTGCACTGAAGTGATCATTACACATTTACACAAAGAGTAAAAGCACAGTGCCTACTTTTTAAAATTATAAAATGCCATCCACATTCAGTGCAGTTTTCAGATACTCAGCATCAAATATTTTAGTTGGAAAAGAAACAGCAAAACTATTACAGTTATACACAAATGTTTGAACACTACCTTTTTGTTGATTTTTTAAGTGAAAATACGTTATCGTATCCTCTACAGGAAACAAACCCAAACATAGCATTTTCCTGCAAATTTTCAGAGCAAAATGTCTATTTAGTTGAGTTTAACATATTGGAAAAGAATGAAATATAAAATACAAAATGTACCATAACTTTTGCCCAGGTGATGATTCATCTTTTATTTTCTTCCATTATGTTAAATTTAGCAAATAAGCAGTAATTGTGCTGAAGTGTGATCTCTGTGGAGGATGTGAACTTATTTTCACTTAGAAAACTGACAAAACGTAATTTGACCAGGGGCTTCCAAACTTTTGCATACAACTGTATGTACAATTGTAGCACAGTTCATTTTCATATCAAAGTCGTGCAGTTTGTACAGCATAAAGTGCTCTGTCATCCCCATATAAAGCTAACTAAGGTACATTTTTGTTGTCTGCAGTTTCAGAAGCAAACACAATACTGTGTATCAGGTGAGGTCAGATTTGGGCAGAAGGTTCTGGGGCTGTATTCAGGAATGGACAGAAATGTCAGGTCCAGTTAAAGCTCTAGTGACAGTACACTGAACATTGTGTAATGTGCATCACCTCCAAATTGTGAATGCAAATAGCAGGGAGCATTTACGAAGCTTGGAGGCATGGTTAAAAGATGAACTCAAATTTTTTTTTAGTCCCATTCACCACACTCATTTGACCACGGGTAGAACCTTATAATGCCAATTTAGTATGTGTTTTTTAGGAAGAAACCTTTATTATAAGAAGCTTACAGTCATTTTCACTGCAGCTACATAATCAACATAAAATGTTTAACTCTATGTACAAAAACTACACAAAAAAGCCCACGAAAAGCTGCAATGCCAATATCAGAGGAATGCGTACTCATGCACACCCACACACCTGTCCAGCGAAGATTCCACACACGCCAATGATGCAGAGAATATTGAAGACAGCTGAGCCCACGATAGTGCCCACCCCGACATCTCCATGTGTGATGAACACACCTGCAGAACACACAACAATTAGCATCCACATTAGTGCACACCTAAGCTCACATGGGGGTGTGTGTCTGTGTGTGATTGTGTCTTACCAATGACGGAGGCAAAGAGTTCTGGGGCGGAGCTTCCAGCTGCCATGAAAGTAGCTCCAGCCACGTCTTCACTCAGATGCAGTTTCTGGTGGATGAAAGCAACAGACAAATTCTCACTAAGCAGCTAACAGAAGCAGAGACGATATCAGAGCACAGCAAGTGGATCTGTAGGTAAAGGGGCAGGTGAGGACTGTTTGATGGGGAGGCTTTTAATGTGTACAGGTGGACGACATAAAGATATGATGTAATTATTAGGATTGCACCAATACTGTACCATATCAGTATCAGCCTTCATACTGGCACTTAAGTGCAGTATCAGTATCTGCAATGGTGACATTACTAACTATGACCAATACCAGGAAGCAATTTCAGTAGACGGAACCAGCAGACGGAACCTAACGCACTGGTGGTGTGGGTTGACAAACAGCAGTAAAAATGCACATGGCAAAATCTGTAAAGGCAGTATTTCTATGATATAACAGTTGGAATTGGAAAAGGTATTAGCTTAAATACACATAAATAAATCAGATAACACAATACACAAATAGTGCAAAACACACTAACTGTGGCCTTTTACCTGAATGTCTCAGTGAGGCTTCTTTTAGTAAACACTCATTTCCTGCTGTGTAGTGAGTTGCAGTCTGAGTTAATGTTAGTCCAGGATGTTTTAGAAGGAGTGTACGTTAAAGAAACATATGGAAGGAACTGCCACTCTTCTGGGGTAATAAAAGTCTTTAGCATTGGTTTAGTCTTTAGCATATCATAGTATAGTGTGTCCACTAGCCCTGCCTGCATCACACAACAGTGTGGTCTTGTGGCCTTTATCCAAGCATAAAAATCTGCGGCTCAACTGCTTCTACTGTCAGTATACGTGGTGCATGTATGATACAAATGACCTGAGATATTTGGATGTGGAACAACATTCAGCACCATTTTTGCTGATCCAGAGAAGCTGCTGCATGCTTACATGTATGCACTAAAGGCTTATCTGTGCATTGTTCAAGTAAATGCCATTAATTTAAGCTTGATATGTTTTATTAGTGACCCATAACACATATTTTACCAAAATAAAATATTTTAAAAGTGGAATTGGATAAATATCCGGACTAATAAACAAGTTAGATGGAGTTAGTATTGCTATCATTACTATCGTCCAACACTTAAAGATTAGATATCATTATTGGTATTGGAAGGGAAAAAGTAGTATTGGTGCATCCCTAATGGTTATCATGCTAAATTATGTGACAATAATGTTTAGTAAGCATTTTGTCTGTTTTCATCAGCACTGACCAACTGTACATTTCATTAAAAGGAGATTTAGCTGGAGCTCCCACATGGTGTAGCTGCCTAAGGTTTTACCCTATTGTCAGGACAGCTCAAGCTCAAATCCCCCACAGTGCATAAGTGACAGCATAAGTGGTCCTGTTTAATTCGATGTAGTGACATGTATGTTGTGTCAGTACATTCAATTAAAAAAATACTGTATTCATAGTTTTTGATGACATCTATAAGGCATCAGAGTTTGGACAGCTGATTATTTTATGACTTCTTGTGCTCAGATCAGTTTGGGTGTAAACCTGGATGATGTAGGTTGAGTCAAGCTCAGACAAAATTTTGTTAAGAAAACAGGCCCAAAGAGTTGCTCACCCTTATCAGGCTTTGAAAGCTTTCTCTCACCTCACAGATTTTCTCCAGAGAAGTCACAAAGTAGTCATCACACACAATCGCCAGAGCCAGAAACATGTAGATAGCCTAAAGCAAAAAGTTTATGGGAAAAAGAAATGAAAATAAATATTATATGATATTAGTTCACTTAGATAAATGATAATTCTATTTATACAACCCCTTTAAAAAACTGAAAAACAATTCAAAGAGGTTTACAAAGATAAAGCAAATAAAAACAGACATAACAAAACCCCATGCAATTTAAAACACTGATCAAGAAAGGAAATTAAAAGTTCAGCACTACAGTAAATAAGAGATATATCATTAAAGCACACCCTAATTACCTGAGTTACTGAAGTGAGACATTTCCATTTATTTCACATTAAAAATAAACCCAAAATGCAAACAGCCACATATATATAAAACAATAAGCAAAGCCTTGTAATTACAAGACTCAATAAACAATAACAACCACAAGAACTCAATAAAAACAACTTGGAGGTAATTTTGTTTCACAATAAAACAGAAGGCCAGTTTTTCTACTGCTCCTATTTTGATTTTGCAGAATTTTCTCCGTTATTAATATATTTTGCTTAAGGGCCAGCTAGAGTCAGTGAAGGCTTGTTTGTGTTGTTTACTCAGCTTGCAGTTGATGACAGTGTTAGCCACAGGGCCTGTACACTCATGGTGTTTTCAGTAAAATAAGATGACCAGTCACACGGCACGACAAGGAGCTGACAAACTATTTATAATCATCATAAAATTGTCAGAGATGCACCACTTATTCTGGATGAAGGGGTCAAACGTGGAGTTAGGCTAGACTTTGACAGCACAGACACATTGAGTTCTCCTACCGCGAATATGTGTAGCAGGACAGCTCCTCGTGTGCGCTCTCGGTTGGTGAAAATATCCTCTGGGAACTCGTGGATGGCTGAAATGAGAGTAAAAAAAATACAGTGCAGTCTGTAAGTAATTGGACAGTGACATAACAGTTGTCATTCTGGCTCTGCACTCCAGGACATTTGATTTGAATATAATGATGGAGGTGTAGAATGTCAGGCAAGAAGACGAGAAAGTGTTTTACCTGAATACATGGCATACACAGTGTCATCATGCAAAACGATAAACCTTTTTATAACGATAAACAGAATGTATCATAATGTTCTGTCATGTGATGAGAGATGACAATATATACATATGCCTGATGACCACTGATGCACACCCTGCTCACTGTGCTCTCTCGTTCTGGACAAACTTTGTGTATATGAGCTGAGCTGTAACCAACCACATTTTTGATATGTGGTGTGGTAACTGCTTGCGTCACACCCAGAGTCAACTAACATGCTGAGATTCAACACTCAAACACACACAGAGTGGAAGATAAAATGGTTAAAAAAGACCAATGTATTCAACACATGGGAGATTACTAAATTAGTGATTTTTTTTGTTTAGGATGCGTCAGAGCTCAGAAACAGTCTACAACTCTGCATACACTTTCCCTCTGAACATGTAAATCTGCTTGTGTTTGAATGAGGGTTTACATTTGTAGTTCAGCTCTCTTGGTCCAGACCAATGCGGAAAGTGATACATTCTTGCATTTTAGCTCTGCTTCTCTTAGGTGTACAGGTGAAAACAAAAAAAATGCTTGGGTAGATTTTATGACAACATTTGGCACCAATATCTGCATACATCTTTTACAATGTCTTTAGTACTGACATTATCTGTTCTACAATTTTCAATTGATAGCACACTAGGAGATGATAAAACATCTTCAAAAACTTGTGTACTGGATGTACCAAAGCAGGTTTGCAGTTTATTCTGCATTTGATCCATTTAGACATCTTTTGTTTGTTTTGCATTCATATTTAAAACGAACCACACCAACTTCTTTGGTGCGTACGAGGGATCGCATGGCAGCGTTCTCACATTTTCTAATGTATTAACACAGCAATTGCACCAGGGTCCGTTTTAATGAAATGGAACCTGACAAGTCTGAACACAACCTTAGTGATACACCCACAAAGCAGCCAGCAAAAATGACTCAGCTCACTGTAACAAAAATACAGCATTAACATAAACAGTGCATGACTACTGCAGATTTTGAAAACATAAATAAAATCTAAAATAAAAATAAAACCTCCCACTCCTTAAAACAAGGTCTTTATTAGGAGTGCTGCACCCCCCACTTCTCTGTTCAAGGGTATTTATGCCTCTATTGGAAGAACTATATAGGATCCTACAGTCTCCCATATAAATTGTCAGGACAGTCGCAAATCTTTTGAAAACAATGACTGTCTGAAGGCTGCAAGTCATAGACATCATCAGATGGTACGTATCTTCTTCTTCTATGTTCTGCCTGGGCTAATGTAGCCATTTTCTGCTCCTGCTTATTCAGGTGTGTCTTTAGTAAAATTGATGCTCACTAACTGGGATTCAGGTCCTGTGACTTTCCACGTTTTGGCCCTAAAATAGACCATTGCAGCTTTGGCAGTGTGTTGTGGGTCACCTTGCTGCTGCAAGGTGATGCTCCGTCATCTCAAACAGCATTTGGTTGGACCAAATTCATCCTATCAACTCATCCTATATACAAGTAAGCTCCTGAGACCATGTTTCAAAAGATGAGATACTCTGGATCATAAGCAGTATGTTTTTTTCTTCAATTTGACTCTAATTTCCATGACTCTGCTACTCTGTTTTATCTCACCTATCCTTTAGGAATGGGAATTGCTTGAGCCACAAGATTTGTGATATGCTATGTATTGTAATATACATATACATATATAGACATGTTGAGATATACTGTGATTTATGCAACAAAAATATTTTCTATTCATTCAAAAATTGAAAGAAGACAGATCAATATTTAAAAACATTTTTTTTACTTGTACTTACATATTTAGCAGTGCCTCATATTTGCAAAGAAGACAAAGCAACATTTAAATCAGGCTTTATTCTTGATCTTTAACAAATGCTTTAATTTAGAGCGGTCTACAATGGCAGGTGAATGAAATTCTTGGGGTCTTATTGGCAGATTACAGCAGTTCTGAATCCTGTCTGAACAGCTGGATCATTCTGTTTCCCACATTACAGAGGAGTGTACAATCTGCTCCTAACAAGAACTACACTGATTGAAATCTTGGTCTCAAATAAGTTAATATAAAACCCAAAATACAGCAAATTCCGCATTTCGCAAAATGTTTTATTCTGATTCTCTCATGATGCCCAACTTTACTGTAACTGACATTTCTTTGAGAGACATTAGCAACACTTCACATACAAAAGCCACTTGAACACTAACAGAATTAAGACTAAAAAAAAAAACCAATAGCCAACTGCCTCCCTTACAGCATAAGAAGTATGTATGCCTCTCATTCCTACATAGTTCACCATATACAGACATACAAACTCTCAAATTGGAGTCGACAGCCTGAACTTTAGCCTCACTGTCATTATTTCATTTTAAACCCAATGCGCTACAGTACAAAGGCAAAACAACAAATATCATGTCACACTGCTCAGTTACATATGAGCTGCACTGTACAGGCTCATACAGTTCAACTCAACTGAGAAACAGTTCAACTCAAATCTGTTTGAATCTGTGTAAAGATGAACAGCCTCCATCAGACAGCAGTAAGGAGAAGAAAGACTCATTGTGCAGTGGGAGTGGATCCTTGGGGAACAATGCTGTAGGCTATAGTGCAGGGCTCAAGAAAGAGTTGATGCAAGAGGGAGAAAAAGAATGCAAATCAGAACCCAGAGACAGTGCACTGATTTAAAGGCCAAGAAATGTAAACTGAGCATCAAGTTACCCCTTAAATTACCCACGCTTCACTCTCACTCTCATAACTGTATAACGTACATACTACGCCATAGCACTCACTGAATAATTAATAGAAGTCACTAAATAATCACAAGTCTTAAAATTAATAACTGAATAATAAGCCTGCAGTTTAAAGGGTGCTGTCAAGTAGACTGCAGATGCCTATTAAAATCTCCATCATGTGATTGATGAAAAAATATACAATTCAAATGGAGTTTAAAGCTAATTGCTCTGCCTGATCTGGGACTGTGAGGGTGTTTTACTCTGCATGGTGACTGATAGTGGCCTAGCCATGGCTCTGTAAATAAACCCACAACAGCAGGCAGTAAATACCTGTATATGGCACAGGCAAAAAGGAGAGCTGCAAGCTTCTGATTTTGACCACAGAAATGCAGAGGCCACCAGAAAGATCAATTTGCTCAGCTCAGGCAGTCACTGAACACTCACTAACAAAGCAGAAGCTGGCTATCTAAGATGTGGATGAGTGGCTGCAGCTATTGTATTGTACTGAAAGAGGACCAGCCATGTAGTCAGTCAGTCAGTCTTATGATCGGTTTTTCAAACTACTTAGCAAATATTCAAAAACATATACATCTATTGCAGCATAGTTTTAGAAATATTGAGAGGCACTATTTGAATAAAGACTGTGCTTCATACATCTCAACAATGCAAAGTAATACTGGATTTGCATCTCCTGCAAGTCACTATTTTAGCTTGGCTCTTTCTCTCTGTGAGGAGGCTGGCCCTCCCTCTTCTCCCTCAATGCTAGCCAATGCGGGGGGGTCTGTTAGCTGATGTGACAGAATTGGCAGTTAGCATTCTCCTCCAAGCGTGTTCAGCTGTCCAATGACGTTACATTAGTGGCAGTTTGAAAACAGGCAGCGTTTGGCTTCATGTGTCTCAGAGGAAGCTTATGCTGGCTTTCACCCTCCCAGCTTGGTACCACTGTGTGATAAGGGGAGATAGTGAGTAGGGGGGAATTGGACATGACTAAATTAAGACACAAAGCCAAAAGATTTCAAGAATGCCGATGGGAATTCAAAGAAAACACAGTTTCTCCTCAATAATTCAGGGGACAGTAAGACACAAACAGATGCAGATACATATCACTGCAACAGAAGAAAACTGGAGCTGAAATAGGCTACGTCTGTGGTAACTTATGTAGTCATGTTAACTAGTGCATGTTAAATGATTTCTAGCTGGCTACAGGTAACTGGTACAGCAGTGGATGCTGATGAGGACTCCTCGTCTTCTAACAGGAGGTCTTTTCTTCTCAGTGGATAATGTGGCAATATATTAGTTTGATATATTGTCACAATACTGCCTGCTCAGTGAACTCCAATTTAAAAAGATTTGATTTTATGGTCGCTTTAAATTAAATTTTGGTAAGACCATGCATGTCATTCCACCATGTTGATTCTTGGAAGCTGAGTTCTCCCTCTTTTTATTACATTTACATTTAAGGCATTTGGCAGACACTCTTATCCAGAGCGATTTACAATTTCATTATTTTACACAGGTAGGCGAAGGTAGTGTTAGGAGTCTTGCCCAAGGACTCTCATGGGTGCTTACCCAGCCGGAGGATTGAATCCCAGCCTACAGCGTAGAAGGCAGAGGTGGTACCCACTACACAATACCAAACAATCCAGAGCCTGTGGTCAGTTTTTTTTGTTCTCCAAAATGGTTAGACAGTAATGACTGTGGTTTTTCAAAGCTTTACAACAAGGCAGCAATTTCCACTTTAAACAGATTAAAATTGTAAATGGTATAGCCTATTAAAGGACTCAAAATTCCAGCTAGCCGGCACGCCCACTGGTAGTTGCTTAAACTTAACAAAAGAGACTTTGGTTTCTATGATGCAGCACAAGTAGTCAAGTTAGAGGATGAAAAATCTCCAATTATGACTGGTAAGTCACTTCACATCAAAGACTTTCAAAATAGCACCAACCAACTCAAAAGAAAAGTGAAGTTATCTCTCAGTTAAAAAGTGACCAACCCTGTTGTTTATTTGACAGTGATTAGTGATTTCATGGACTCTTATAGCTAACAGCAAAAAACAGTTTAAGGAAATAAGCTGTCGGCTCGTTTAAGGGGTTAAGCATACATACCCA